GAGGACGGTTGCGCATTAACACAAACGATCCCCAGCTCTTTCAGAGGACAGAGTATTTAGCTTCATTCCATGTCGAAGATGGGAGCTTGATGGAAGGGGGTATTCTTGACGACGGTAGATCAAAAACTTGTCATGAGAACGGTTTTCTAGATTGAAAAAGTATTTAAAAACTTATTCGGCCGAGTGAGGATAAGCGAGTCTAGAGCCCAATTGCAGACCTAACGCTTCAGTAGGTCTGAAGTTGGGGACTTCTAGCCTGAGGGTGGCAAAATAGACTTGCAACCAGAGTTGAAGAACTTAGAGTGGGTCGGTCTGGTAGAGGTCAATCTTGTTGACAATCGTCTCGGCTAGGCAACATGTGAGGTTGGCGAGGATAACCGAGCTAAAAGGCAGGACATGACCACTGGCTAATGCCTCAACAACCGGCATGTTCTTGACTAAACATTTATTTGACTTGGTACATCAAATGAATTTGTTGTACCAGTAAAAAAGGAAGGCTTCGTGTTCTCCCTTCTTGAGGTTTTCTTCCCATTGGTCAGCGAAGTGTTGAATGAGGGTGTTGTAGTTGAAGTTCTGGTGCAACTTCTAAACTTCTTCTTTCAAATGATCTTGATTTTTCTTCCTCGGCGATCCAACCGCGCATTCATCGAAGAGCATCTTGAGGTCGAGGTTGGATGGGCACCTAGAGAGGGAGATGTCAATCTGGAGACCTGAAGGGGAGGTCCAGAGGATGGCTGAGATATCGAGAATAGTACGGCCAATAGGGCCTAATGGAAGGACCATAAGATTGGTGGCCGAGCACCAAAAGCCTAGAGCTGCCATGAGAAGTTCTTTGTCCATGGCGATCTTGATGGTTGAGAGCTTAATGGCATCATAAATGCCGAGAATCTTCCACTCATTGCTGAATAATTTCTCCATCCTTTCTACCCACGCTACCCAAGCCGCGGTAATTGAAGGCCAAACTCCTTGGGGTTTAGTCAATTCCCACTTCGACCAGTTATATCCTTGAAGCAGGGGTTCCAAACAATGATCTTTGAGGAGGTTGGTAATTGACGCTAGGACATTGTCTTTGAAAAGTGGTTCCAGGATCTGGTGAGAAGCGCTCGAGTGATGTGAAATATTCTAACACACAAATTAAACCCTATTAAGATAGTTGTAGTATATGACGGTAGGGATCGTTCTAGGCTGGGGATTAACTAGGGCTGCTAATCTACACAAATATGACTCAAAAACACAAAACTAGACTTAAAAACACTTAACTAGACTCAAAGAACTCAAAACAAACTAAAAGACTCAAAATAACACAAAACAATCAAATAGACTCAAACTAGACACTAGAGGGTGAATTGGACAAAAATTGATTTTAACTTGACTCAAAACACTTAAAAACACTTAAAAACACAAATTGGACAGATTCTAACTAACTTGACACAACAAAATAAAGGGGATTGGGTTTTTGACGAATTTAAAGTAAAGACAATTAAATTAAAAACTTAGACAAATTAGACACGAATTTGGGCGAAATATGGGTGATTGGCTAGCTAGAGGGTTCTTCTCCACACATGACACACTTGCATACAAAACGATTTCTAGTTGCTTTTCCAATAAACCATGAACCTCAACGCCCCAGATTAACCGTGAAAAGCACTACTTAACCCTCAGATTTTCTTTAAGTCATTGAATTGGATGCACAACGCATCGGCAACCAAATTATTCTTCAATAGTTCCATACATAACAACATAATAGAGATACAATCAAAGATCATTAAGCTTTGTGAAAATCATAAGCATTGACAAGACATTCGTAACTACGAACAACATGATACTCCTGTCAGGAATTCACTTAACGCGATCGTGACTAGCAACCTCCACTACTTATAAATATAAGTTCATAACGATTAGGTGAAACTCCCTTATATTTTAGCATCAAATCCCTGCATGCAAACTCAATGTGCACCCTCAATCAACAAACAAGAATAAGTTCTTAATCAAACAGTTAAGTAAATTGCATTCACGATTCATGAAATCACAACTAGAAATAATCAATTCATATTGCAAATATGTTCATGACTTTGAATCTCCCCTTAGCTAAAACGAGTTTAGCTTATCATGTTCGTAATTAAATAAAGACAATTAAATTTAAACATTAAAACAATGGATAGAATACACCTAGAAACGCTCCAACAATCCAACGTCTTGAATGGCAAGCACGACTCCAAGGGTCTCCTTTCTTTTCTCCTAGCAAATCTGCAGCACAATAGGATGAATGTGTATAGGTGTATATGGCACGAATTTGTAGTGAATGGTGGTAGAGGGTGGTGATCTGAATGAAGGCTGCATCAATTATATTTATAGGGAGAAAAGGTACGGCCTAGGTAGCATTGGGAAAGGATTGGCACTCCAAAACCCAAGTGGAATAGGTTAAAACAATCAGAAACCAAGGGAAATTAGGATGATACATCAAAAACCATCAGGAACAAGGATATAGGGTGCGGCACAATTAGGAAAAGGGGTTCTAGAAGGGGTTGGGGCGCCACTTTTGTAGGGAGAGGAGATAAGGCTTCTAGAATCTTAAATATGTATTTGAAATGCATAATTATCCCTTATAAATGGCTAGAATTAAGGCACAAACTAATTTGGATAAGATAAGATTGGATAATGCTAGATTAGGAAAGGATAAGATAAGATAAGGTTAGTTTGGATAAGATAAGGTTGGATAAGGTTTTGGATAATGACTCATTCTTTTGAGCTGATTCCTTATCTTCTTTGTCTTGGATTTATTTTCTTCATATTTTCAGCACATTCCTAGCCTCTTGAACTTTAAATTCATCCATCCATCTTGCTCCACTCATAAGCTATCCATTTGATGCCCAAAACTGCCTCAAAATGCTCCAAATTGCACTTTCTTGCCAACTTTGTCATTTGGACCTACAATCACACGAAAATAGCTTAAAACACTATAATAAACACAAACTAACTATGAAAATGCAAGAAAACAAGCTAACTAAGTCGCATAAATATGCTCCTATCATCGAGTCACCTTCGAATCGTAGGTTTTTGATGGCACTCCGGTCAATAAAGTCCCGGCACTTGGCACATTCGTTGGAAAACTTGGAGATAAAGGTGTTGAGAGCTATTGTGGGGACCTCGAAGGAATTTTTGGATTCAACAGATTTTTTTTGGTTAGAAAGAGAGCTTTGAATGATGATCTGAGAGTAAAATGTTTGAGAGTTCTGAAGGCATAAAGGAAAAAATGAAGGATTTTGAGTATTTATAGGGGTTTTGGAAGAAGGCCAGTCGTTTGATTTTGAAACGAAATGGTAAGACTAGTCAGACAGTTTTACAATCATCATGGAGATTTGGGAAATCCATATGAAGAGACCAAGAAACTTGCAGGTTGTGGCTACACGATGGCATGTGACGGCAGATTCAATGATGAAGAGACGTTTGATTATGTGCATGACTCAAACAGACTGAGAAATTCGCTGTTTGAGGTTATAATGATAACATGTGGTAGGGTTTTAGGGTTTGGGAAGACGTTTCAGTGTCAAGGACAAACATGCCAAGAAGATGCCACGTGGCAGGGTGTTTGACAAAATTAAGATCGTGCGATCATGCTTCATAAATGCGCCTAATGGATGGAATATTTGAAACTTTTCATCATCCTTTAAAGATACCTTTAGGGTTCACTTCTTCAAGGTCAAAACTCGGCTAAGGAGTTCTAGGCCGAAAACCTTAGAAGCGAGAGGGCAATGTTTAGACCCAAAATAATATTATTAGGCCGAGCGAAGGTTTATGTTCGGTCCAATGCTTTTCCAAAAACACTATGGGTAGTCCAGTGGTCATAAGCAGCCCAGTCAGGTCGGTCGAGTCCTTTTGCAAGAAGGTTTAGATTGGATAAGAGCGAATGGGTCGAGTCCTAGTATGATAAGAAGTCTTAATGGAATAAAGATGCTGAGATTTGAGAAGTGAATGTGGTCGGATAAAGAGTTTGGTTCAAAGTCCTACTGGAGATGGGATTGGCCGAGACATGGTTAGATTAGGATAAAGAATCCTAATCCAAGTATAGTTCTGGTTCGGTCATGATAAGGTTGGCTGCTATAAATAAGGAAGGGGTGCATCATTCTAAGCCCTCTAACTTAACACACAAACTGCCCTGCGCAAACTCTCACTCTACACGAAACCTCTCAACAACCTTGAGATTTTTATTTTCTTTTTCGCCAACACATCTTCAGTTTGGATAAACAACACTATGAAGGCAACCGGCGAACACCTTCAATTTGGATAAACAGCACTGTTGCCGTAGAATCAGCCGACCGTGAAGCATCTTCAGTTTGGATAAACAGCACTGCGTCGAGGACGACTGATTATCTATCCAAGTCTCGGTCTAGAAGGATTTTCGAATCCTTATTGGCAGAGGTCATCTCATTAGCCTTCTCGACGAGATGAGGTGTTTCGAATTACTGGGGTCGGCGCATCGAACGCCGAGTTGTTTTATGATTTGATGCTCACAAGTGGGATTTAGAGTTTGACATTCTAACAACCGAACTACGTTTACGATTAAGATGCACATTTTCTTTGAGTACTTGTGCCCATATAGTTTTGTGTTGATTCGGCATGCTTATACTTTTACGAATATAATCACTGTAACCGAATTCAGCGCCGACGATTTGTGAACTTCTTAGAACTAGCAGCCTTGCCTTTAGGCTCTAGAACCTGAAGGCCGAGACGTGTTCCTTCATCGGTTGCAGTCACAAGATCAAGAAGTCAGCAGTGCGCCCAACGCAACATCAACACATTTTATTCACCGGCCGAGCTCGACCGTCGAGTTGGCACGCCCTGCACACAACTGCAGGACGTAGTTAGCTTATTAATTACTCGGCTTGCGTGCCACATAGGCTTGGTCGTTTTCAGGGTCAACAATATATAACACAGAAAGTAAGAAGAAACTAAACAAAAGCACATGACTTTATTATATTTCTTTGGATTACAATAGGAGCTCAAGGCCTGACATTTCTCTTTATAGAACGGAGGCGCAACGGCTTTGGTATCCAGTCGTACTTTTTGACATAATCGCTATGCTTGATTCTGTACAAGTATATTCCATCCTCTCTAACATTCCATATGCAATGGACTCCCCCACACTCTTCAATTTCGACATGGCCAACCACGGAGTTCATGCTACAATTCCAATAGGTGTTAACTACAGAACGAAATTCAAATTCAAGCTGTTCTCCCTTGGTAGAAAGAGTGCGATCAATTACATCGTCTGCAGAATAACAATGCACGTCCAGTCGTTTAGCATCGAGATCGTTGACAACGCGCACAAAGTGCTTCTTCCCAGGGAATATATCCGAGGTACTAGGGCAAATGGAGAAGGCAAGAAAGAGTAGAGAATAGATGAACTGGCGTAATATTGTTCCTTTCATTTCACTAATTCTCAATGTGTTTTGATGTAGTATATTTCATTCTAGCTATCCGTTTTTATAGCAAAAGGATGCAATCTTTTTCTCGTAAAGAATAAATTTTGGTATATCCTATATGGTATTTTAGGTCTCGTTTGGTATGGAGGAATGAATTGAAATGAATAGTCCAATACATTCAGCGCATCTTGAAGATTGAGGAGACAATTTTCATTTTTAAGAGATTGAGAGAATTTTTACTTTTTATTTTATTTATTTATTTAACAAACGATATTATCTACATAAAGGGGTAGGGGAGTGTAGCTAAGTCTCACAGGGTGCGTTTGTTGCACCGGACTGTCTCGGACTGGACTAGCTTCAGGGACTAAGCTGGATTGGCTTAGACTAGACTAAGCTGGACTAGCTTAGTGAAGCGTTTGGTGTAGTGTTGGACTAAGAAGCAGGATAATGAAAACAATATTGTCACCAGTTTGGTGTTTGCTCAGACTAGAACTACATTACTGTTATATTTTAATTGCTTTTTTATTAAAGATATTATTGAAATTAACTAAATCCACTTTTCTCTACCTGCCCAATTCAAACAAAACCAAACAATTTCTCAGAATTAAAACATAATAATAAATTTCTCACAAAGCCACCCAATAAAAAAATAAAAAAATAAAATTAGGGAAAAAATTGTATTGTAATCCTTTTGTCCGTCGCCATCTGAGGTTCTGAAATGTGAGCCCAGAAATTGTATTGAGCCACAAATTGAAAGAGATAGTAAGTGATGCCAAAGACAATTCCTGGAGTATGCTCTCAATTCGCCCAGGCATCAGCAGTCAAAGTGAACCAAAACCCAACCACAAAATCCAAAAATCGACAAATGGAAAACCAATTTCAAGCAAAACATTGAACCAAATCAGCAAAAAAGGGAATCCATTTCCTAATTTCAGCAGTGAGAGAGAGAGCACTTGGCAGCGAGGTAATGAAATTGGAGGTCGCGGAGGACGATCTGGGAGGCATTGAGGAGGTGGGAGGCATTTGGGAGACATCAATATGGGTTGTGGATCGAGCTGACCGATTGGTGGGTGGTAAGTAATCGAATTTTGTGATTTATAGGGGTGGGTGGGGCAGTCAGTCCAAACAAATAAGGCAAGGGAGAGGCAGAGAGGAAAAATCATGCGGGAAAGGATTAAAAGCAGATGAAGCAGGATGTGGACGCAACAGACGGAGACGAAGCGAAGCTGACGGGCTTACTAGTCCGACGCCTTTTGGAGGGTCTCACTAAGACCTCCTAGTGAGGGACTTAGTGAAAGCGAGTCCCCCTTTATCCCATTTAACTTAGTCCCTTGCTACACCAAACATGGGACTACACTGACTGTTAGTCCAGTGCAGTCCAGTGAGAGCTAACGATGGCAAACAAACGCCCCCACAATGTGTTAGCAATAATGTATTTCAAATTCATGAAGAAAACTTAGTGACAAGAGATTGAGAGAATTAAACAGGAAGAAAACTTATCCTTTAAATCCTCCATCATTTTGAGAAGGGTTGAAATGTCTTATCCAATTCCTGCTCCCATTAAGTTGATTAGACATGAAGAAAACTTATCATTTAAATCCTCCATCATTTTGTTCTTTAGTAATCCATCTCCTGTGCTCCCATTAAGTTGATTAGAATTTTTTCATTTCTTTCTTTTAACGTACCTTAAAGATAATATCTTATCCATTTCAATTCAATCATTTGTGGCAAACCAAGCCTAATGAATCAATATCCATGGAGTTTCATGATCTTATAGGAATCAGACAAGGATGATACATATAGATAGTGAGATATATTTGGCAGTACAAAAACAAGGTTCACGTATGTTTAGAATTCCCTTTTTTTACACTAGAATTTCATGGTTTTATTATCCATCAAGAACTTGTGTTGTTATCCCTTTCACATGGCCAGCCAAAAGTATGCATGTATAAGTTCTCAACTTTTATGGTAAGTCGCATCAATTAGGAGATTTTGTTTTAATTAGATTTAAGACCATTGTCGCACTCAATTATTACGTTTAGTCCTGAAGGTTTTGTTTATAGATTGAAGTTCATTTTGATCCAAATAAGTAACTTTTTTTTTGTGTGATGATGAGCCAACATATATTTTTAAAGCTTGCTCTTTGCAAAATTTTTTTATTGCCCTTTATACGATTAGTCTATTTTTGGGCGTTCAAATATACGTATTAATGGGATGAATGTCAAAAGATTTTAATTATATTGATACCAGTTACGTATGTTATAATACATTTTATTTTTTATTTTGTTTCTTATTTGGTTTTTTATTTTTTTTGGTCATTATTTGTATAATCTATATTACATCAGGCTAACTAATTTCTTTTTCTTTCATTCTTAGGCCTTTGAGTCATTATTTATCCTCTATTTTTTTTATAAAGGATTATTTATCCTATTATATATTCAAATTATGCAACAAAACTCAATGTGGTTCATACTGGTGTCGAGCTAAGCATAGTAATGATAATAAGGAACTATCATAATAAAAATAAATAATGACTAAATTTTTTTTTAAAACTTATATAGAATAATAATACAAAACTATATATTTATTATAGAATATATTGTATATATTAATATGGCTATTGTATTTTATAATAGATCTTTTAGTAATTAAACTTTAAAATTATCAAAATAAATTTTTTCTGAACGGGTCGAAACGAGTGACCCACGTGTTACCCGCATGTATACACGGGTTCTTAACGGGTCAGCCGATAATAACCCGATAAGTTATCGTGTTGACCCGAAACCTGTTATTTTCGTGTCGTGCAGAGACTGCCAGACCTTGTAGGTCCAAATACCTACACTTATAACTTGTTTAGATGTGCTTTTAAAATGATTGAAAGCGCTTTTGGTGAAAATGCTTTTAGAACCAATCTTTAGTAAAAATGCAAGTGAATCTTGAAAAAGCACTTAAAGTGCTTCTTGGAAGAAGCACATAACTGGTGCTTCTGGCAGAAAGCACTTTAAGTGCTTTTGAAACCTATAACATTTTTTTCTAAAAGCACTTTTAGTCATTCTAAAAGCACATCCAAACGAGCTTTAATGAGGGACGTCCAACACAAAACAGTTACCATCTCGATTGGTTTATCTCACCCAACTTTTTCTATTTAAAGGAAACTAAAGCATGAAATTATATCAACCACCATCTGATCAACCATCTTCATCAAGGTTCTGAAAAATGCCAACATGAACATCGTAGCAGTCTTTTTCCGTCTTCTGCTCTCATTGTCCATCTGCAGCTCAATGGCTGATTATCGGGTAACCGTTTTTAATGACTTGGCTCGAAACACCAACCTGAATGTTCAGTGTCAAGCTGCAGGCATAGATCCGAGCACTCATTCGATCCCATTTTTTTAATGACAAAAGCTGGACCGTCTACATTAACACTACTGCTGTTTGATCTTGTGATATGAGTTGCGGTATCATAAAGGGGCATTTCGACATCTTCAATGCTAAAAGAGATGCCACTAGATGTGCTAGAAACTAATGCGCTTGGCGTGTGAAACGGGATGGCTTGTATCTATTCATCGAGGTGCATAAGAGGTTGGAGTTGCAGTTTACGTGGCCACATTGAGAAATAATTAAGTTGAGAAATAAAGATGACCTTCTGATTTTGTTATTTATCCATGTTTCATGATGTTAATGATTTCTTTTGAGGAGGTCATCACATATATTTGCTTTGAGATCTAGAAAATCTTTTGGTCAAAACACTTTATGTTCCTTATTCGTACATTGTGCTTTCTATGTAGTGGACATTCATATATATTCCTTTAGGCTATCTCACATGCATTTCAGCGGAGCTGTTTATACTTTTGAAGTTGGGCCGTTTAAAAACCAATTAGCAATGGCTGGAGACTAGAAAGGTCATATAACTTATATGCAAACTACTGAAGACTAAAGAGGTCATTTGACCGGAACTCCCCTTCCGGTGATTTTTCAAAGCAGCACAATCTGTGCAATATCACTTTCCTCTCGGTTTATCTTTCAGACCAACACAGGCAAAATGGAACCATTCTATCTTCTACTGTTGGAGGAAAACAATAAAATTAGATAATAAAGTTGAAAATGATTTTAAGCAAGAGAAAATATTGTAAACACAAAAATCTTGTGACAAATGAGACAAGAACACTTGTACAAAATAAATTTGTATTAATGAACTTGTAGAGCTACAATCTCTTTACAACTTGATCCTCTGATTCAATCTTTGAAATGTGTAGATGTGTTGTGTTGTCGAATCAAGGGTCGCGATGACTTGATCTTGGATGAACGAATGTCGCAAGGTTTTGGCTCTTGGCAGTGGAGAACCGCCATGTGTAGGGATGCTTGGTGGTTCTTCACGGGTTTTGACGAAGAACACGAAGGATTTCTCAAGTCTTCTTGAGTGTTTGAGTGTTTGGGAGGTTTGAGTGCTTGAGAGCTTCAATATTTCAAAGCTTTAGCGTCTGGGCGTGAAATGAGTTTTGGACCCCTTTTCTTTGTCTTAGAGCCTCCTATTTATAGACTCTTCAAGCCTTGCCCATAGATGGATTTGGCCTTGATTGTGGGCTTGATTAATTGATGAAAGAACTAGGACTCGATTTATGGGCCGGCTCATGATTTGTCTTCATCAATTAATATTTGATTTAATTAAATTAAAATCAAATAATTCATTTCCGCCAAAAGTTGACACGTGTCCTTCTTGATGACTCGTCCAATTTTGATGAGTCACATCCATGTATACGATTTGTGAGACACATGGTGCATGCCGTGTATGCCTTGGCCTGTCAAAGCTTTAATGCGTTGGTGAACAATTGAACATTTATTTCATCGAAATTTTGATGTCTGCAAATGCCCCCACTTCAAGGCGCGTCCTATACAAGTGCTTGTCACGTGTAGAAGATGTGTTTTGAAGTCCCTTTGCATAGTGAATGTACTTTAACCACTATGCTTTGAAATCCTTCAATGTAGATGTCAATTTAAGGGTCGTTGAAGCTTGATTTTGAATTGGGTTGGAAATTTTTTCTAGGGCCGTCGAGGCTTGGTCTTGAATTGGGCTGCCAATTTCTTCAAGGGCCGTTGAGGCTTGGTCTTGAATTGGGCTAGAGGTTTCTTCGAAGGCCGTCAAGGCCTGGTCTTGAATGAAACGGACCACGAGCGGTTTCACATGGTTTTATTAGTGGATGAATCGGCACGTGCTTGTTGTGCTTGTTGACTCTCCACAAGCTTGATGAAGAACATGAGTGTTTGTTTTGGCCAAAGAGCTTTCTGAAGTCAAATTTGATCAAAGGTGGTGCACTTGAATCGGATTTGTGATTTTTTCAAGGGCCGCCGTCGAGGCTTGTTCTTGAACAATCAGGACCACAAGTAATGTCACATGGTTGATGATCCTTGGCTTTGTTGGGAATTAATCGACACATATTTGTTGTGCTTGTTGATATTCCACAAGCTTGATGAAGAACACAAGTGTTTGCTTTACCCAGAGAGCTTTTTCGTTCACCACAAAGGTTTGAATTTACTTCATTTCTGTAGAGTCGACTTTGATTCAAGGGTGGTGGACACTTGATCTTGAATCAGACTTGTGATTTCTTTAAGAGTCGTTGAGGCTTGATCTTGAATGAAATGGGATCACAAAGAGCTTCACGTGGTGGGTGGTCTTTAGCTTTTGTGTGGATGAACTGGCACATATTTGTTGTTCTTGTTGATTTTCCACGAGCTTGATGTAGAACACGAATATTTTCTTTGGCTAGAGAGCTTTCTAGTTTTCTTCCAAAGGTTCAAATTCACTTCATATCTCTGGATTCGTATTTTGATTCAAAGGTGATGGACATTGGACCTTGAATCCGACTTGTGATTTCTTCAAGGACCGTCAAAGCTTGATCTTGAATGAAATGGACCACAAGGAGCTTCACGTGGCGAGTGGTTTTCGGCTTTGTTACGGTTGAATCGACACATGTAGTTGTGCTTGTTGATTCTTTGTGAGCTTGGTGAAGAATATGCGTGTTTTCTTTGGACAAAGAGCTTTCTGGTTTCCTCCAAAGGTTTGGCTTTGCTACATTTCTTTGGAGTCGAATTTGATCCAAGGGTGGTTGACACTTGATCTTGAATCAGACTTGTCATTTCTTCAATGGTGGTTTAGGCTTAATCTTGAATGAAATGGGACCACGAGGAGTTTCACGTGGTGCGTGGTCTTCGGCTTTGTTGGGGATGAATCGACACATGTATTATTTTTGCTTGTTGATTCTCCACGAGCTTGAAGAACACGATTGTTTGGATGTTTGAGAGAGTTATGGATGTCCGAAGTTTCGACTTACTTCCTTTTGCTCCCCTCTTTGAATGAGTGCCTAATATTTATAGGCAAGGAATTTGGCTTGATTTGAAATACCCAATTGAAGCTAGACTTGAGCTACTACTTTGTGCCATCCACGTGTATATATATATATAACATATACATATATGTACATATATACACACACGGCACCTTTTGATTATTATTTTTTTTGTTGGCTTCCTCTGTATTGCACGACCCTTCCTTCTCCATTCAAGTTTCAGACGCAAATTGGGTTTGAGTCCAAAGTTTTTACCTCAAAAATAATTTAATTGGTAAGGTTAAAAAACCCGTTTGGTAAGCCATTTTGCCAAATTGGACAAAAAAAAAAAAAAATTAAAAACCAGCCTATTATAATTTGAAAACAACAAAGGTCAGGTCTTAGTTTTTTTTTTTTTTCCACGAACTCATATCACGATGGAGGTCTCTCAGGTCTGAGTGACTTGTGTCGCGTAGACCATGAGCACCCTTGCGCCTCACCAATGACAAACGACCATTAGATTTCGGCCAATAGGGGGTGAAGGTTCCGATGAATAGCTTTAAGCCTCAAATCTCTGAGTACTTGATTGGGGATGAAACTGGGCCATTCTCTTCTCTGCCAGGAACGATCAAGGTAATGGGTCTTTCTCTTACTGCTTTGTTTGGTTCCTTGGAAAAGGGAGGAAATGATGGGAAAGTTGATTTATGTGTTTTGTTTGTTGGGTTGTGAGAAATTGAGTTTATCTATCTAATTGGTGTGATTCATTTGTGTACAATGTATATAATCTAATTGATGTGCCCATGAGGATTGATTTGTGAACAGAATTTGTTGTGATGTTTAGAGAGGTTAAGGATTGATGTTTAGAATAGCATATTAGCAAGTTAATTTGGTTCCTATATTTCTATTAAAGTTGGTTCCGTGAAGCTATTAGAGCTTGCGTATTAGGTGTTTGTGAAAATTTCCCATCGAGTTAGAAACAAGGATATGATGCAAATCTGGGCGTGGTGTGTTTTGGTATGTGTGTATATAGGTATAGGGTATAGGGGTCGTTATGTGTGTATGTAGCCTTGTAAGTGCAATTGAGTTAAGTTATCGTACCTTAAGAACAATGTAGTCATGTTGAAAGTTTTCCCAATATGGCTTTGGTTCAAGTCCGCTGGTAGTGGTGTCGTTATATGAAATTAGTAGAAGAAAGGGTTCACTGAAACTGGGGTTCATAGCTAGTAAACTGTTTCTAAAAAGGACCATGGTTCCTTTGGATCTTACATTGCTTGGGAATTGAAGTTAAGTTTGGTTGGCAGCTTAGATTGCCTTGGTAATGCTATAGTTGACCGTTATATCTGAAAAATTGGGGCACCATTTTTATAGTTATGCTTACAGTATTCCAGTGAAATTTAGAGGTTGTCACCAACTGGGAATGTGTCATAGCCTCTTATCGCTGCTAATGATATCATTATCGTCTAGTTCGTGAAAATGCCATTTGAATTTCATTTATGTTGTTTTAGTGTAGATTTTTATTTAGGGTGGTGGCATATATTGGATTAAGACAAAACTAAGCAAATTATGGGTTTTTAAATTTGTTAATCTGTTACAAATTAAAGGTTAATTTGGTGAATGAAGAACAATGAATAGGAAGGCAAAGTTCCAATCTTTTCTAGTATTCATGGGGGTTTATGTCCCTCTCAAAGCGGGAGACTTGTTGGCTTAAGATTGCCCTTATTCTTCTTGTTAAATACAAATTTAGCTAATTAGAACTGAATGCTACTTAAAGTTCTGATCTTTTATTTTTAGTAAATTTGTATGACTTCTGCAATACAAAAACTATTTCATTTTTCTGGTAAATTTGTATGACTTTTGCAATACAAAAACTATGTCCCCTTTCTTTTGAGATTTCCTTTAACTCTTGTCTTTTCAACTGGGAACTTGCATGAAGTCATATTGTCATGCCCGTGTCATTGGAAGAGGTAAATGAGTAACTCTTAGGTCACACTACTCTCATTTTGTTTGATATTCTCGCATGCATAAAATGCCTTTTTATTTATCATCTAGTTCGTGAAAACTGAGTATATAGTACATACTACATAGAACTGAGTATATATGTGTTTTGTACATTCATAAGTGAATGTAGCTTTTAGCTTTATATTAATTTCGATGTTTCCGTTTACATTTTTCTAGTACGTGTCTAAGAGATGTCAAACAAGGACTTTGAAAATGACCGTGATGATAAAGCTAATTGGCCAAAACCTATTGAAGACTACTTTATTAGTATGTTGTATGAAGAGACAAAAAAAGGCTTGCAAACCAACACTTTATGAAAGAATCAGTGGGATGCAATTGACAAGAAGGTGTTTGACAAATATGATGAGAGATACACTCGTGAAAAATTGAAGCAAAAATATAATCGGTTGCGAAAGATTCATTGTGAGTTTGCCAAGCTTGTTAATCATACTGGGATGGGTTGGGACCCTATTGCAAACACTGTTCAAGCATTGGACGAAGTTTGGGTAGCTTATATTAAGGTATTTATTGTATTATATAATGTATTTTCTTTATAGATATGCATTATTTAATATTATTTACTAAGTGTGGTCAACCTATAATAAAATTTTACAGAAAAACAAGTTTGCTAGCCGTTTCTATAGCAAATGGTGTTCTCATTATGAGGTTGTTGACCCTAGAAATTACAAAGCCTACGTGGCGCGCAGGCCGAGTATATTCTAAGCTAACTACGTCCTTCGGTGATTGCGGGGCGTGCCAACTCGTCGGCCGAGGCTCGGCCGAGGAGTAAATTTGATGATGTTGCGTTGGGTCGTGCTACTGACTTCTGCGTCTTGCGATTGCGGCCGAGAAAGGAACACGTCTCGGCCTCTTGGGTTCTCGAGCCTGAAGACAAGGCTGCTACTCTTACAAAGTTCACGAACCGAATTCGGCTTTCAATGTGCCGAATGTAATAACTGTAACACCTCACTTCGCCGAGAAGGCTAATGAGATGACCTCGACCAATAAGGATTCGAAAACCCTTCTCGACCAAGACTTGGATAGGTAATTGACCGTTCTCGCCGCAGTGCTGTTGATGCCAACGGAAGATACTGCGAGACCGACCAATTCTACGGTGACAGAGCTATCTATGCCGACTTAAGATATCACCGGTTGCTTCCACAGTGCTGTTGATGCCAACGGAAGATGTGTCAGCGAAAAAGGAAAAGAAAAAGATCTCAAGTTGTGAGAGTTTGCGCAGGGCAATTTTGTGTTGATTTTGTGGGGCTTTTTCTGATGCACAACTTCCGCTATTTATAGCACTGGACCCTGAATCTGAGATAGAATCCTATTCGGACTAGGTTTTCCCTCTCCGGATCAATATATCACCTCGACCAGTCCTATTTTCATTAGGATTGTGAACCTAGTCCTTATTCGAGCCCTATCCGCTTCTAGGTTGTTAATCCTGCCGAGACTCCCTATTGTATCAGGACTCGGCTTGTCATTGCATTTTGACCTAACCGGCCTAGGTTTGGAAGCCCACAAGCTGAACGATCCATGGTCTTCTTGTCGCAAGGCCTTCCGGGCCGAGAATGATTCTACACTCGGCCCAAACTATTATTTTGGGCCCAAACATTGCCCCCTCGCTTCTGAGGTCCTCGGCCTGCAATCTTCGGCCGAGTTCCGGCCTTGAAGAAGCGAATCTACCATTCAGAATCCTCATACCCGAGTTCCAAGGCGCATTTATTGAGCACGATCGCACGATCTTGATCCTGCTAACCTACTCGCCACGTGGCGTCCTCTAACATGGCCAACCACATAATGACGTCTAAGGCGTGCGGCAGTCTGAACCGTCTTGCCATCATGACCATTATCTCAATCCGCGAGCCACTACCTCAGTCCGTGAGCCCATTTGTCATCGTGCGGTCGTCGAACCGTCTTTTCGTCATTAATTTAGCCGTCACACGCAATCGTGCGCCCCCAAAACCCTAAAACCTTCGGTCTTCTCAACCGCATTTCCCAAATGTTCATCATGATCAACAATTCCTTCGGTCGATTTTGCCCTTTGTTTTGAATTTCGAACGATTGCTCTTCCCCCCACAACCTCTATAAATACCGAAATTTCCTCATTTGTACTTCTACGCTCTCAAACTTCCCGAAATTCTCTGCCATTGATTTCTAGTGCCTCTCCTATTCCGAGTCTTCGTCTTTAAATCCCCAACCCAGAAAACCCTTTTACTCCGTGCTTCTTTCTCATAATGGCATCCTTCATCTCCAAGCTTTCCAGGGAATGTGACCAACATCAGAAGATCCTTGATCGGAGCTCGATCAAGACCATCCGGTTTGAAAACGACATGAACACCCAGTACCAAATCCTGGGTCCTCTCTTCAAGGCTACAATACCGCCGACTATCATCGGCCTTCTACAGGAGAACTGCCTAAAACCCTTGCTTCAAGGGTTTGAATGGTCGCGATGGGATGCGGCTAAACCCCAGGGCTCCTGGCCCTCGACGACCACATCCTGGGCAGCCTGGGTCGTTCGAATGGAACGACTCTTCGGTGAGCAATGGAAGGCCCTTGGCATCTACGACGCCATCCTCCTTTCGTCCATGGAAATCGTCCCCGACAAGGAACTTCTCCAAGCCGCTCTGTGCTTCTGGTGCTCGGCCACCAACACAATGGTCCACCCTCTGGGTCCCATTGGTCCCACCATCCTGGATATTACTGCCATTCTGGGGACTTCGGCGACCGGGATCCCTGTCGACGCGACCCTCTCTGGGCATCCGTCGAATATCGACCTGAAAACGCTCTTCGACCGTCGGGCCTTCGAGACCTTGAGCCGTGACGGTCATATCCCGTCGAAGGAAGATATTCAGAAGCTCCACAAGAACTTCTGTAATTACAACACCCTCTATCTTCACTTCGCCGGCCGAGGAGAAGAGGACCTGCGAGAGGGAGAACATGAAGCCTTCCTCTTCTACTGGTACAACAAATACATTTGTTGTACCAAGTCAAACAAGTGTTTGGTCGAGAACATGCCGGTAGCCGAAGCCCTGGCTAGTGGTCACGTCTTGGCGCTGAGTTCCAACATTCTCGCCCAACTTTTCCGCTGCCTGGCCGAGGCGACCCTCCAAAAGGTCGACCCGCACCAGAATGGTCCTCTCTGGGTCTTCCAACTCTGGTTGCAGGTATACTTCGCCTCCCTTCGGCCGGCCATAGCCGAATTCTCACCAACAGAGGCGCTTGGGTCTCAACTGGCCTCTCGACCGACACCTCCCCATCAAGCCGAAGAGGTATTTCGGTACCTCTTCGCTCTCGACGACTTCTCCAACGACGAGTTCCTAATATGTCGTCGTCGAAACTATCCTTCCTCCATCAGGCTGCCTATCTCCCCATGGAGCGCGGAGGAGGACGCCGATCTCCGTCAGACCTGGGGGTCGTTTGTGCTTGCCCGCGACCTCCCTCTCGGCTGCGATGGGAAAACGGTCAGGATGGGAAGTATATCATCCGAACTTCCTCGCCCGACAACTCGGCTACCTTCAAGGCTGCCCTATCCCCCTTCTCTCCTCCCGAACGGTCCTAAGCCGTGGACGCGAACCTCGTTCCTCTGAGAAGGAATGTAGAACCGCCGTGAAGGAGTTCCAAGAGCGCTGCCA